TTTTCATCAACAAGACGCCCAAACTATCCGCCTCTCCATCCCACTTGCCGCCGAAGGCGGGCAAAACCGTTCGCGTGAATATGACGAATTTCCTCAGTTTCTCCCGTTTGTTCGAAGAAATAAATGTTGAAATATATATTTCTAAGGAGCGAGACGAGCGACTGTGCCTCTTTCTACGGGTTTTGTTGCTGTGTGACTACCAGCGATGCATGCAGGGCTGCGGCAGACCCGTTTCTGCAATATCCGGTTTCCTTCCCTTTCCTCGATATCAGCTGAATTGTTTTTGTAAAATAAAGTAAAAGAGGAAAATTCCTTTGAAACGCGGAGCTAAGAAGAGCTTAAAATTCAACTTTTACGGCCGGATCGGCCGCAACCCAGAATGGCCGAGTTGTATGAGGGCCTCGAGAAGGTGCCCACCTACTACGACAGGCGGACGTGTACATCTCTGGAGGACTGGCAGGAGGCTGTGCGGACTTCTCGCACAGTATATGTGGGCAATTTGAATTACTTCACTACAGAGGAAGAGTTGTATGAGGTCAGCAGAACGCCGCCAGTTGCAGTACCGTGTTCTACGTGCAGCGTACATACAGCTTGGGCATGTTACCTAGGTGAAAGCTAGATGAATTCTATCACTCGAAACGGCTTCCTACATCCTTTTTCATCTCTGCGCCTTTCCCCGCCTCTCTGACTTTGGTTGTGTTGTGTCTGTTCTGGTGTATGTACAGCTCGTCAGCCATGCAGGTTCTGTAGACCGAATTGTGATGGGCCTCAATAGGCTGACCAGGGCACCGTGCGGCTTCGCCTTCGTCATATTTCGTTCTCCCAAAGAGGCCAAAGTGGCTGTGCAGATTCTCTCGGGGGCTCAGTGCGACGGCCGTGTCATTCGCGTTGACCCCGACAGCGGCAGAGATGTAGACGGAGACAGAAAATACGGGAGAGGTGAGAGATGCAGCACGGAACGCAGCAAGCAGCCGCAGCAAGAACAGCAGCAGACAGCTGCAGCAAGCAGAGGCAGCTGGCAGCTGCAGCAAATGCAGCAGCAGTCGGTTGCAGCAGCCGCACCGAAACGTTTCAGTTTCATCCCGGTGTACGCTGTCGATACACCGCATCTGCGCCCGCTCTCTGTCTGTTTTCTGCTTTCTCTCCAGGCACCACAGGCCGTCAGTGGAGAGATGAATGGCGCGACTTCTATGACCCCGGCAGAGGGGGGCAGGGGGGTGAGCTAGGCAAGCGGGCGAGAGAAGAGATGGAGGCTTGTCTGATGGCTTCGGCGATGCCCCCAGCAGACCCTCGTGCCTACCCCCGCAACGTTCGTCACAGGGGGTGGGTACCAGGGGGGCCCCCGGGGCCCCCACCTCCAGTACCCTTCGGGCCCCCAGGGGGGTCCAGAAGGGGGCCTGACGCATACTTTGGGGGCCCCCCCCCAATAGACGACAGACGGTATACACACGAAAACCCGTTTGCATATAACCGCAAATACGGCCGCG